CATATACATGTAATTCAACCACAAAATATGATATAGAAACAACAAACGTCAGCTTATATGTACAAAATGAAAGTAAAATTATTAAATATACTAAAAATATATTTTTTATATATTAGTTTTATATAAAATTTCATTATAAAAAATTTGCTTTAATGAATAAATTTATGTATAATTTCGTTATATCAAAATTTAATATAATTAATTATTTATAAACCGAAGTTATTTGTTCAGCCTAAGAGTTTATAACAGGTTTGACTGTAGAAAGTGGTACCAACAAAATAATAATTAAAGCTTTTCCTCATATTCGACGATTGAATAATATAGCACATATAAATATCTAGGACATGAAGTAATGGTTCAGAGAATTGCGTCGAGAATTGAAAGTTAAAACTCTCGCACGTACTGAACAATCCATGTGTGAAATATTCAAACATTTCATAATGAATTTATTTATTGTACAAAATTCTAACTTCAAAAAAGTGACGAGTTTCTAAAATTTTGAACCGTTAATACATGACTAATTAGACAAATTAAATAATGTAAATAAAACAAAGAATAAATCGGATAAAAAATAATAAATGAACTAATAAACTAAAAGAAACAACAGACAGAATAAATTAAAGCGAAAGAGCAAAACGAACAAACGAAACACACGAACAAGCGAATAACAAATTAAATAATCGTCGAGAGAATCTATATTAAATCGTTTATGCTTATTAATAAGTGAATTTATAAGTACAATTCTCTACTTATCTAACTTAAACTTATATGTTATAAAAACGATTAAATAATGTTTTCATATAATACAGTAAAACCTTCAAAATCGATGTTTAACAGATCATATTCTTGGATAAATGGTCGTGGTTGTGAGAATGGTTGTGATTCTAACGGGAACGAAAATAACAGTGGTGCTATTGGATTATCAATGGTAAATTGGTTTAACGATAAAGAATCATTGATCAAGATATTATTATCAGTCATAAAAGATTCATTGAAAGAGGTTCATAAATATCCGCATTCAGCTTATTATTATTAAAAAAGGAAGCTTTTTCGAAGAAAGCTTGTCAATCGAACCTCCGGCTTCATTATTACCATTTATCATAGGATGAGGAATAACTTCAATGGTTATAGTTGAAGTGGCGATGAAGATACGATTATATTCGATTGTTGAGATTGTATCGTTCAAAGGGGTCGATCTAACGATTTCTGTTGCTTCTTGAGAAGTGAAATTATTACTCATTGAGGCAGATATCGGTGAAGTAAATGCGTATTTCTTTTGTTCGCGAAAACCCCATTTCTTTACGTTTGAGTCTTTTGCATTCTTGGCTTATACTTTTAATTAAGATATAAGTTTTTGTGATTCTCATAAGCTATTTTCTCTAATGTTTTAAAGAAATGCTCACTCTCGCTTGGCAAGTTTTTCCACTTCAGACTACACTCATGAGCCGTATACTTGACTCATATCGATTAAATAAATGTAAATGCTCTCATAATCTCTTCGAAAAATTATCCAGTTGTTTTGCGGTCGTGGTAGTTCTTCAAAATAGTCACTTTTTTTGCAGCTGGTTTCGTTACTTATTCAATGGAAAGCGTTAATTGATAAGAGCGTTTCATTAGAATTAACAATCATTATAGCTTAATAGTTGTAATTAGTATCAATGACGGAATTAGACATCCTTTAAACAGCAAATTATTAAAAGGTAGATTGAGAAAATAAGTAGTTTATGTGCATTTCCTCGCGTGCTTATTTATATTTATTTTTTAATCAATAAATGGAAATTTATAAACGTCCTTCAAGCGCGTTATTGATCCTTAATTTTTTTATTACATTTCAACGTAATATATATACATGTAACTGACCAAAAGTATTGGTCACACAACGACGATCGAATAAAATTTTGCCAAGTCGCATTATTTCAAACGTAATTTACTCTACGAAAATCCAATCAAATTCCTAAAACTTTTTTTTGTTTAAAAGCTAAAGAGTTTTGGATTTCTTTATCTTAAGACAATGTCTTTATTTTCTACTTCAATTTTCAAAAAAAATGATAAAAACGCGAGAGTTAACTGAATTTGAGCGTGGCATGATTATCGGTCTTCACAAGAGAAATCACACTGCCACAGACATTGAAAAAATACTTAAAATACCTAGAACGACTTGTATTAATGTAATAAAAAAATTTGAAAAATCTCAGACTATATCTAATGTTCCTCACTCAGGGAGACCACCTCTTTTGAAGGCTATTGATAAATGTCATTTCATTCATACTGCAGTTGCCAATCGGAAGGATGCCACAGAGGAAATAACAGAAAAATTCAATAATCTTGGACTAACTCAAGTTAGTACGAGTACTGCAAGACATGTTTTACATGAACAAGGATATTTCAGCCGCATTGGTAGAAGAAAACCACTTGTTTCAGAAAGCAATAGAAAAAAGTGACTAAGATGGTGTAAAGAATGAAGACAGTGGGATGAAGAATGGAAAAATATTATTTGGAGTGATGAATCTCGCTTTCTTTTGTATGAAAATGATGGTAGACATCGTGTATGGCATAAATCTCATGAACAATATGATATAGATTGCATGTTTCCTACTGTAAAAAGTGATAACAAAGGTATTATGGTCTGGAGATGTTTTACAAAAAAGAGACTTGGTCCTTTAGTAGTTGTTGATGGATCAATTACAGGTAATACATATAAAATACTGTTAGAAGAGCATTTATTAGACTTTATACAAAGTCTTGATAATGATATTATATATACTTTTCAAGATGATAATGCATCTGTACATAGGGCAAAGTCTGTAATTGAATGGAAAGAGGAAAATTTGATTGCCTCTATTCCATGGCCTGCACAAAGCCCAGATCTTAATCCAATTGAGCATCTATGGGATGTTTTGGGTCAATGAGTACATAGGCTAAAACCTCATCCAAAAAATTTGCAGGAATTGAGTGATGCGCTAAAGGCAGAGTGGCTAAAAATTCCTATCAGTGATTTAGAAAAATTGGTAAATAGCATGCCACGTAGAGTCAGTGCTGTAATTAAAAATAAAGGAAATCCCACAGAATATTAATTGAAAATTCAAAAAGTTCATATTTAGACGAGTCTATTGATATAAAGTTTATTATGTGTTGTTAATGCTGTTGTCGTATAAAGTCATTTCAAATTCTAAGTAAAATTTTGCGTTTTCGATGATAATCATCATGTGACCAATACTTTTGGCCAGTATGTGTAAGTCTCATGATTACGTGAAGTACTGCGTAATGAAAACTTAAAAATAATTACATGTAATAAGCATTGTCTCGCAATACTTACGCATAGATCCCAGAAATCCCTACGGCATTAACGTCGTCTCTTTCAAAAAAAGAAAATTCCTACTAAAATTCCTACCTTGTGTTTAGAATTTTGCTTTATTATTTTGGAACAAACTTATTTTATTTTTTATTATTGGATTAAATATTATTTAATTAAAATATCTGATTTCAAGCTTTACCTTTTGCTCTTGATTGCACAATATTCGTGAAAAATTTGGCACAGGAGACCTTATGAACCCCATTTCGTGTAAATTATTCAGTCGTTACTCTCGACCTTTGTTACATCTTTAATTCGTTAGTCAAACCTAACTTCCGAATTGAGTGTGACAATTCTTCTGGTGTGAATCTATATGTATATATAGATCCTGAATTTTTTAATAATTCTGGTTTGTGTAGGCGTGGAAATTACTGTTATCATTAATCTTTCTACAATATCGATAAAATCACTCATTTGAAAAGATTAATTTAAAAAAGGGATTTTCAAATCAAGTAATCATAAAGATTAGATTATTATAATTTTTACTTATAGTCAATGTATATTAACGTTTAATGGTGCTAAATTTAGAAATCACTAAAAACGTAAGTGGTATTTAAAATTGATGGTTTAAGATATTAACAATATTTAAGAGACTGGATATAAACTTTTTAATGAATCACCTAGAATTAACGAACACAAACATCGGATCATATTTCGAAAAGCCTATGAAGTTAATTTACGTCTACATAAGAGTAAATAAAGTGTAACTTTAATTAAAATGATAGGTTTAGCTTTGACATTAGGATAAATTGTTTATACAGGTTGTATTCTTTTATCGTTATGCATCTGTCCTGGATTGGGGGCTTTTGTGGAAAGAATGTCAGGTACACGTGATTTCTAAGAGATAAACCAATCAAATTTTATTTTATTTGGTTTTACCGTTAATCTTACTAATTTACCTGATTAGCTGGCTGTAACCTAGTCCAAACAATAATAAAGCGGAAATTTTTTTGACACAAAAAATTTAGCTTGGAGTACAGGCATTAATTAAAAAGTTTGGGAGAGAATTTTGCATTTAATTCTTTTCTAAAGTCTAACACTAACCTTAATTCTGAGCTTAAAATCATCCAAAATATTTATGCACTGAAAAATACATGCATTTTGTATAAAAATATTAAAGAAAAATTGTCATCACAGAACAAGAAGTGAAGATTTTAAGAAGTGAAGATTTTCCAAAATGATGAAAAACAAAGGTTCAAATCACTTTTCACTTCAACTAATGAAAAATTAACTAGTTTTATATTTTTGAAATCAAGAATCAATTCGAACTCGTAACAAAACTTGGATCAAGCTAACAACGATCAGGAACAAAAAATAGGAAAAAGGAGATGTTGCTCATTTTTGTAATGATTCAGAATTCATAATAGACGGATAAATGCATCAATCCTTCCAAACCTTATATCCGAATACTATTCTTCTTATCATCAATATATATAAAAAAAAGAAGCGATTTATCAAATAATCATCATCGCAGTCCAACACATTCATTCACACCATGTAGTCGAAGAACTAATCTTTGAAAGAGACAACTCCATTGTCTAAATCAACAGCAGTTAACGCGCAAGAAGCAGAATGTCAAGATATATTTTTAAATAATGTGGAAAAATATTTTCTAGGATTTAAATATCTTTGGGAACATAAGTAACCGATGCCAGGATATCCGGATTTCGGTCAGAATGATTTGATCATGACTGATGGATATGGAATATTTCGTATTGCCGAAGTTAGATTGATAATGATGGTGCAGTAATAAACGAATTAGAAAAGTTACAGAACAAACGAGAAAATATAAGGATTCTTTTACCAAAGAGAACGGGATTGGCTAGTTTTTACGGGATCACACGATTCAGGTGATCTTTGTCCAGGTGATTCACCAATATGTGATTTACACGCGAAAACCGATTTTGTAATTTCTGGACCAGTAGATAAAAAACCTAACTAAGAAATTTGTGGAGTACTCCCTTTTAGATGAATACGGATGGTAATTTATTATTGAAAAATGTTGGGACTCTATTTCGGAAACAATCAACCGTTAAGGAACTTGATACATGATGATGGCTATAATAAAAAAGAGAGTGGAAACGAATACTTTTGCATTTTGTATAGAACTTAAAATATAGGTTCGTACTCGCTATTCGTCATTGTAAGAAAAAATAACTGGCTGCTAATGCTAATGCGAATACTAATGTGATATTAATATAACCACTGACGTATTTATTGTTCACCAAAACCGATTTGCCAGAAAATACTTGCTAGAATACCAACGCAATAAATTAAGTATAAAACTACTAAAATGCCCTTTTTTGCTACAAAGAAATGATGCTAATTAAAAAAATTTAGTAATTATAAACTAACAACAATATTTTTTAACTTCAAAACAAACGTGTAGAACCGTAATATTCGAAATATCAACAAGATTTATCCTTCGATAAATTATTCTTAACTATTGGACTATGATTAGGATCTCGACTGCATAAATTATGTATAAAATTTGCAAACCTCTAAATAATATCTTTTTTTCACAAATCAAACCCGATTTAAGTCTTAACATGACAATAATAAATAACAACCACAAAACTTAGAAAGGCATTCATTTTTATTGTAATTATAACAAATAAATAAAGGATGATTTTTACTGAATTATCAAGTACATGTATAATTTACTTATAATTTCTGATTAATTTTCTGATTTTCAACTACTGGTTAGATTCTGAAGTATGAAAATAAAATTTTTTTATTCATTGTAATTCTTTTTTATCTTTATCTTTTAAATTTTAATAAGATAATTTTAATATAATTAATATTAAATTCTTCTTTATATAGTCAATTTTATAATTAAAAGACTTATTTTATTAATAATATTTATAATTATTAAAATTAATTATTAATAAAATATTTAAAATTAAATTTTTATATTTTATTAAAGTAAATAACTATTATTTTATTTATATTTAGAATTTATATAGAAAAAAATAGTAAATTACTTTCATACTTTTAATTAAAATTATTTCTTGAACTTTTTAATTTTAATTAAATTAATTAAATTTGTTATTTTCTTTTTCAAGTTTTTTATTTTATATAACAATTTTTATTTATATTAATTATTAATAACTTTTAATATTTTTACATGAGTACTTATTTTTTTAATTAATTATTTTATTAAAAATTATTATATTATTTTTTTAATTATAAAATAATATAATTTTTCTTTTAGATTTACTTTTTATTTAATACAATAACAAATAACTTTATTAATAAAATATTTAATATTAAATAAAATTTATAATTTAATATTTATTATATTTTAATAATTTTATTTTTTTAAAATTTTTCTTTATAATTTTTACAAATTAAATTATCAATAAATATTCTGTAATTTATTTAATTATACGTTTTTTTAATAAGATATTTATGATAAAAAAACTAAACCTCAAATATTAAATATATTAATTCTTAATTTTAAAAGAATATAAATTAAATTTCTTGTAAATATCAATTTTTATCTCTATTTAATAATAAGTTTTTATTTTAATTATTTTTAAGTTTAATATTTTTGTTATTTGAAATTTATTTTTTTTTCTTTAAATATTTTGAATTTACTTGAAATTTAAAATAGAAATTTATTAATTAACTTAATTTTCTTTATTATTATAAGAATTCATTATAATTTTCTTTTTTCTTTATTATCTATAAAAATTCATTTATAAATTTTTTTTATTTAATATTTTAGTTTTATAATTATTTTATTTTTTTAAATTATTTTTAATTATTTTTAACTTTTTTTAAATTTCTAAGTTTAATTTTTATTAATTTTTAATTTTACTAATTTATTAATATAATATAATTTTAATATAAATATTATTTTTATTTAAAGTTTATTTGAATTTATTTTATAATTATTTCAATAGCTTATATTTTTATTTTTATTAGAATATTTCATAATCTTTTTTATTTTATAATAAATATATTTAGTTTTTTATAATAAATATTTTATAATTTTAACTTAATTTGTGATTTTTAAGAAATTTTAATTATTTTAATTTTAATTTTTTCTTATTATTTATTATTTAAATTTATTTTAATTTTAATTTTTTCTTATTATTTATTATTTAAATTTTTAAAAATAATATATTTTATAATTTTTTATTTTTATATAATACTTTATGAAAGTATTTTTTATATATAATTATTTAGTTTTTTTAATAATATTATTAAAAATTTAAATTAATTAATTTAATAAAAGTAATAAAAAATTAATAAGTAATAAAAGAATAAAAAACTTTTATTCTAAGTATTTTATTTATTAGTAATTTTAAATAAATAATATATTTAAATTCTATTTCTAAAAATAATAAAAATTTCAATAAAAATATTCTTGTTTTTAATAATTTGAAAAAGAAGTATTTAATATTAAATTAAAAAAAATCTAATTTTTTTAATAATTTTGAAATATTTATTTTTTTAATTCTTAATAAATTAAATTAATATAAATATTATTAATATATTTTAATAATGTTAGAATTAGTTATTTTAAAATAATATATTAATAATTTTATAAATTACTTAATTTTTTAAAGAAAATTCTCAATATAAAATTAAAATTCAAAAATTAAAATATTAAAATTTTTTTTATTATTATAATATTAAATTTTATTTAATATTATTTTTATTTTATTTTTTTATATTATTATAAATAATTTTAAATATTTTTTAACTTTATATAATTTTTTATTTTCATTATTATATTTTATATAATTATTATATTTTATATATTATTAGAATTTTTATTAATAATTTTATTTTTATCAAGAATATAATTAATTTATTTTTATATTCTTTTTAAAACTTAATAATTTATAAGTTTTAATATAATTATTGAAAGATTCTTTATAATAATTTTTTTATATTTATTTTAATTTTTCATACTTATTTATATTATTATAAATAATAATATTAAATTATTTCTTGTCTAATATTTTTTAAACAAATATAACTAATTTTTAATATAAAACTATATTTTTAATAAAAACTTATATTTTTTAACAAAAAGATATTCTTAAAATATGGTCACATATAAATCGGGCGATACATGTAACATCTATATATGAAGTTAGTACCTTATTTATACATATACGTTTAATTAATTTGATTTCTTTCAAAGTTTTACGTGATATTAGACTTTGTTCAATATCGATAAAATTATATTAAAAACAATAAAAACAATAATAAAAGATAATTATGTGGAAAAAAAGGAGAAAAATTTATAAGAATACAAATATCAAAATACTAAACTAAATATCTTATGATATTTAAATAAATGTTCGATATATTCTATGAAAGCATGAAAGTAAGCAACGCAAATTTTTTTGTTTTGAATATTTACATGTTAATTTACTATATATTTCCATTAAAGGTTAATTGATCGACCTCTCTCTTATCATTTCCAACTCCCTTTCCAACAACCTCTTTTCACCTATGAGGACTTGATTTTCCCTCCTCAATAATTCCATCTCTTCTTTCATTTTTAGTATCTCTTGTTGTACACGATGTAATTCCATTCGTGTAGAGATTTTTGACAGTTCTTGAGCTTTTGCAACTCGTTCTTGACATACGAGGCTATCCTTTAGAACTTCGACCAGTTCAGGTGTGGAGTAATGTCGATCGGTAGTTATTGTAGGAGTAGATGAAGATGGTGACGATAGTAATAATGACGGGGATGCGATTTTTGGTGATGATGGTTGCAATGAAAGGTGACGACGTTTTGTTGGTGGTGGTAATGAAGTGGTGGGCGCAGCGGATTGTTGTGCAATTGTATGTTCATCATTATTTAAATTTCTTCCAGATCCGCTGTTATTTGACCAGAATTGATTTTGAATTTCGTCATCTTCGAAGTCAGCACGTCGCTTTCCATTACTATTTAGATTATCACGAATATTGTTGTGATGTTGGTTAGGTGCCATTTTCCCATAGCCGTCATTATCAGAAGAATTACGAGAATCGCCATTAAACCATTTAAAAAAGTTGCATTTATTCTCGTGATCGATCGTCCCATATTTTGCGCATCCCCAAAAATATCGACCTCGATTTTCTGGCTTGCCACGTATGCCAACTTGACGAGCGACAGCTTCGATATTACAATTACATACCGGGTTTTGGTTGTTGCTGTTGTTATTAGGGGAAGATGGATCTGCGGGTGTATTAAAACCGTTTATTTTATCGTTTTGTGAAGACATTTTTTATCACTTATTTTTATACTAAAAAAATTGTCTGGGTTTGGTTAAAATTTTTGAGAAAAAAATGTATCAAAATGTTCAAATTAATTATCGGAAACCCACTCTTTTTATAGGTTGCTGTGCTCTTAATTGACTTAGAACACACAAATGTTTTCTCACGCACATAAGGAGCGGGAGGCAACGTTATTATTTCATTTGTGTCAAAAGAATCCGATACGTAGAAAGTCGGATGATTTATACACTAAGTAGAGGATTGACGATATATATATATATATATAAATAATATTATATATATATATAAACTTGGCGCAGTTAACAGTCTTAATATAAATTATATAAAATCATGGAAATACATAATGATGATCGTACTATAAAAATAG